AAGAAACGTAGGGCTAGGGAAGAACTGCCCAGAGATTCTTCTTGTCGAAATGAGGATCAGAATGATGGTAGCGAAAACAAGGAGGACACTGGTGAAAGTACTCCTAAACGAACTCGAGTACTAGGTAATAGCCTTGGTAGACGCGTGCATTTTTCGTCTGTTGCTGCTGTTTCTGTTTTTAATCCGAAGGATAGTTTAGCCTCCCCCATGCTGCCCCCTCACGGGGTCCCAGTTCATGGTAGATAGAAGTGTTTTGTGTTTTCAACCGCACTAAGACTGACGTCTTTTAATTGGTCAGCCGGTTAGCGCGGCCGATGCTAATAATGAATACACACACACACACACACACACGCACACATCGCCTGGGCAGCCGTGGTGTATCTGATGTCTCAATCGTGGGCCGTTTGTTAATTTCCTTTACCATCCGAAATTCTGGGCGACTGCCTGCAGTTGCTTGCAGATAAGGGGGGAGACGCACAAGAGCGCGTACCTCTAGTACATCCACGGCGCCCCTGCGGGCGCCGCGTGGGCTTGCCCTCCTCCTCTTTTGTCGTGTCTTGTTGTGTGGTGATGCGTACCGAGCGCACACCGACGAGGGCACACCGTCAACGAAAAGGAAATGTTCCAAAGGGATCCAGGCCAGTCCGCCACTCCGCACGTGGCGAAAGCTGCGGCTGCCACGAAGGCAACGCTCATGCTCCTGCTGACTAGGTGAGGATACGTACGGTTGCAAGCGTCATGTTTGCGTTGGTCGCTCTCCGCCGTGCTGTTGTGCAACCCGAGTCCTTGGTTGCTTTGTGCGAACTGAGACAGCAACAACCCAGCGTTGGGAACGGCCCATCCGAGACCGGGTGCTTATGTAGTCTTGTGTGCTGTTTGACCTTGAAAACCCAGAGATGATGGGCATACAACACAACTTGCTCTAGCGTGTCTTCACGGCGAACACACGACCGAGATTTCATTTGCGCACCTCCAAGCATACCGATCTGCTTGGCTGACAGCGATGCACCCACGCTTGTCTCTCACCAAGCAGGTCCGTAGCAGTACGAGCGTTCTCCACCAGTCCGGCGTCCTTCGCACCTAGGGCGGCAGCCGTTCGGTACCCCCTTCGCCGTCTCTCGCCATGGCCTGGCCTGCAAACCCTCGACGGCGGCAGGACAGTCGCCGTTGCAACTGGCGCCGGTGCTACCGGGCATAGACAGCCCAGACGATGGATCCGAGCGTCAGCAACGGCAGCGGCGGCGGAAGCGGACACAGCGAAGTCGGGAGGGGCGCTCCGACCGCCATCGATCGTTGATGAGAATGGCGACATGGCGACACACGTGAGTGCCGACACACCGCCGATGCGTGGACATCATGACGTGCAAGTTGTGCGCTTACCGTACGTGACGTGAGATACCACACCCCCTTGGGGCTGATTTTCAAAGCTCATTTCTCCACAACATGAGCAGTGGTGGGTACCGAAAATGGCGGCCGCAGAACCGGCTCGTCCAGAGTTTTCCTAAAAACGTATCGTTTGACTCATACACTCTGTTCGTCGTGGAGTAATGGGGCTGTAAACATCAACGCCAGGGGTGATATATCTTCAGTCACCAACTACTGCTCTAGTTTCAAGTGTCCCCAGTTTTTTTTGCTTCTGCTGTGCACGGCTGTCACCAACGCCCCTCTGGCGCCGTTAACATCGACACGTGTGTACACAGGTGACTGCACGTTGTGTTTTCCCAGACATGAAAACATCGAATACGGTCGTGGATCCATGCACCTCGTTCATGATCTCACCCCAAATATTGGTTCTGCTCTTCTGTGTTGCCAAGTGTTGCTGTTGCTGTTGTTGCTGTCTTGACGTAAGAAGCCGTTCCCGGTCTCCACCCAGTATCTCGTAGTGTCCGCATTGGGTCAACCGGCGCGGACGCCTTCAGGAAAGACTATAATCGGATGTGATTTTCCTATGGAATCATTGTCCCTCATGGCCTGCTTACCGCTTCGTGATGCCTTTGTCGCGCGGGCATTCAATTACATTGGCGTCGAAAACAGTACGACTTCTTGTCGGTGGAGCGGAGCATGTACGCATGGTGGGAAGAGAAAGGCTACTTCAAGCCGGGCGGCGACCCGAAGAAGAAGCCGTACGTCGTACCCATGCCGCCGCCGAACGTTACCGGGTACCTTCACATGGGGCACGCCATGGGTACCACGTTGCAGGTCCGTTGTTTGGTGTTGGGAGACTGGGGGAGGGGCGGCAAGGAGAAGTAAAAGGGAGAGGCGGGCTGGATTTTCCGCTGCGGTCGCCGCACAACAAGTAGCAGCAGCAGCAGCAGCGGCAGCACTTGTTCATAACACTGCCGGAGAGGCATATAATGAGCATCGCACTGAACGGCTACTGCTGTACCGGTGTCGACGTTGGTGCGGGTGTGGTTGATTGTCACTGTTCTAGTTTAGGAGGCAAGGGACATCGTGGGAAGCGAATCCCGGTGAAGCGAATCCCGGTGTTGGCGCTATGTTAGCATCGCTTGTGTTTCGGAATCAACAAGTCTGTGACACAGTTGGGAACCATACATCAGATGCGACCTTCACGATTCACCTACCCATCGATTCAGCTGGATACAGCAGTAGCCCAATCAAGATCGATCCATCATTAAATCAAGACTTCTCTTAGAATGTCTTCCAGCCCCTCTCCAACCCTCTCTCTCCTTCCGAGCACGCGTTTGCTTTCCCAAGCTAAGCCTTTGACCCCCAACACCACACTCCACTTCCACGGCCTGTTGTGCACCCCTCGCCCCCCCCCCCCCC